TAGAAATCACGAAATCATCTTCAGATATCAACATTTTAACCAAATTCATGTTCTTTCAACTCTCCCTTCTCCAGCAAGGAAGCGGTAGCAACGTTATGTTAAGCTGAGTTACCAGGCTGTACTAACGTCGACCTTACAATAGTTCCCGCTCAGTCACTCTGAATTCGACAGCCGCGTGGCGGCAAAGGGACGGCCAGGTGAAGACATAGCGTGGGGTTTAGCACAAGAAAAGAAACTTTTCCTTGAAGTAGTGGTTGAAGTGGAATCTTCACTCATAGTTCACTTACAATTTGCAATTTGGAAAAGACTGTTGTAAACGATTGGCGCTATCAATTGACATAGTAGCATGCTTTACGGAAACGTTGAGAATTATGCATTTCATATTTGTTATTGTTCCTCTGACTTGGAAAAGATGAGAGATCAATAAGCGAGAAAGGAATAATACACACAAGGCAATGAACAGAAGGAAGAAAGGCGATAAGGGATGAAATTAAATACTCGAACTCCTAACTTTTTTTACTTCCGATGTAAAGTTTAATTCATCCGAAGGCTCACTCTTCGTAGGTTGCTGGAGAGGTTATGTCCTCATACGATCGAACTTCAATCTATTCACCCCGGGTTTTGTCTGTTTAGTGTCCCCTCTCAACTCTAGTCACGTGATTACCCATAATGCCAAACGAGCGACAGTTTGTCAGAGTTACGTGCATGAATTGAGACAAATGGGCCTAGTTAAAGACAGCAGACTCACCGCTGTCAACGTCGGCGAAAGGTGTGCTGCAATACGAGAGACGTCGACAGAAACAGTTTATTTTTTATTGCTGTTATAGGAACGTATTAAACGAATTCGGTGAAACGGTAAGCTATTGTTAAAGTTGTATAAAATGAAACTGTTTTTTTTTTTACAGAATTTACAGTTCATTTGCACTCTTGATGAAATCCAATTTGCTAACAAATAGTGTTTTATTAAGTCTGCTTAAAGTACACATGAAACACTCTTGCAAGGGTGAAGAGCAAATAGCAAGGAGCCTACCTCCAACTTGATTTTGAACGTCGGCGAAAGGTGTGCTGTAATACGAGAGACGTCGACAAAAACAATTTATTTTTTATTGCTGTTATAGCAACGTATTAAACGAATTCGGTGAAACGGTAAGCTATTGTTAAAGTTGTATAAAATGAAATTGTTTTTTTTACAGAATTTACAGTTCATTTGCACTCTTGATGAAATCCAATTTGCTAACAAATAGTGTTTTATTAAGTCTGCTTAAAGTACACATGAAACACTCTCGCAAGGGTGAAAGAGCAAATAGCAAGGAGCCTACCTCCAACTTGATTTTAATAACTTCATAACAATTTAGTATCCCAGAGAACGTCGAGGTTTTTTTATCGTTACGATAGCTGCTTCAAGTGAAGTGTACGAAGTCTGCTCGAGAGAATGCAATGGCAGTTTGTTAATACTAAAGTAGAAAACATTTATACGATATTTTAATATAAATTCTTCCATCAATTAAATATAAACTTACGAAATATGAAATTTCTTTCGTTTCATTTTAGGTTGTATTAAAAAAGGACTTATTTCAGACTCGTACGTGTTTGTCCACAACTTGTATGTTCTGTATGAGTGAGTAAATATTAATACTACACAAATTCAGATTATTGCTGATTTATTACCTTTCTCCTGCCGAAATACCAATTGCGCCATATCCAGCACAAGATTATATGTTATGCTAATAGAGTTATTTTATTATGATAATTTTCATTATGAAATAACAATAGCCAGCCACTTCGTTTCTATTACAAGTGAACTGTTGCCAGGTAGTACAGATGGTCATGCCATTTGGTAAATATTTCGTGTTATATTTCATTAAATTCAAATTATGACATTCCTCGTATATGCTAGTACTGACAAAAATTACTAAATAGTTGATTATATTGGCCACAGTCCTCACTGAGATCGTCGATAAATTCCACGTCTTTTATGGACCCAAAATATCATTACCATATTCACCAGACACTGACACTGGTTCTCGTCCTGAGCCAGATGAATCCAGTCCAAACCGTCTCACCTCATCTCCTTAACCTCTTTTTTTAATACAATTCCATGTATGCCCAGATCTTCCGAGTGGTCTTTTCTCTCCAGACTTACCAAATAAAATTGTGTACGTATTATCGACTCCCCTATGCGCGCTACACATATCCTGTCAGTCTAGTCGTCTTTGATTTGTTATCCCAATAATAATTTATGAACGGTAAACGTTTCGGAGCTCCTCATGCAATTTTATGAGCCCTCTTGTGTAACTTAATCTCTCATAGGTTCAAATATTCTCCACAGCAAATTCTGTTTATATTATTCTCTTAATGTAACGGACCAAGTTCAATCATAAATGTTTCCAAATGTATTTGTATTTACGTTTGTTCTTTGGCGAGAATATAGTATATTATTTTTGAAATGTATTAAAATTACCCCTTTTAAAATATCAATCCAGCTGATTTAAGGGCTTTGTATGCTGTAGGGTTTTAGTACGAGGCCACAAATATCTTTCTTTGTTTCTAGGAACATTGCAGAGATGGAATGGCCGTACCTTCAGCTCTAGAATTACTTGATCGCCTGCGAATTTATCATCTCGATGGAGCAACAAACAAGTCGTTTGACACCATGTCACCAGAGGAACTCATGCAGTACAGGTAAAGTCAAATGACACGATACATTTTGCTTATGCTATACCACGAGCTAGTTTCTCTCTCAGTAAAGGTGTAAATTTTATGAGAGAGATGAAAATGTATCCAAAATTTATTCATAAAACCTAAAGTACGCAGACCACTTACGACACGAACAATACATCTCAAATAAATATTTAGGATGTAGAATGGGTTGGGTCTACTAGCGGGTTCTGGTAAATACCATAGTAAATATTTGGGTTTAATAAAAGATTAATATATTTTATTATCTGACCGACTATTAGCTTCTCAATACATTATAATATCTCTGAACTTATTCTTCAGTAAACTCATAGCTCAGTTTTCTGAGTAACTCTGTTTTGACAATGAGGTCGATTGAGTCTTGTTTTTACTCCAGATTCTTGTACTAGAACGCCACGAAAATTGCTTTAAATTGCAAACCAGCTCTGTCTCACTCTCCTCCCTGACTGCACACTAGACGAAGACATTGCCTTGCAGTCAGGTAGCCCCACACGACGGCTTCAATTAATCTACCATCAACCGTTTCTCCAGCATGTCCTTTTTCTTAACTCGGAAATTTGTTTTCCGTGCTGAAGAATGTTTGATTCAGTGACGTTATCGGAGTTTGGTTCTGTTTGATCTCTCAGCTGGTTCTAAGGTTCTTCTTGCTACTTTTAGGAAGCAATGTCGATGAACGAAGATGTGAGATTAGGTTTCCCCTGAAGAAATACAGGATTCTGCTTCAGACTTTGATGAAGCATGTTCATGCTGTAGTTAGTAGAGAAGTGAGAGGTTAATTTGAATAACACTGTTAGGATAGAACTCTATCTAGTTGGACGCAAAGACAAAGCGTTGAAACCTTGATTGTTTCCATGGACAGAGACGAAACAATTCACATTGCTGGGCAATGCAAACCGAGAGGAGCTTCTCCTTCCAGCTTGTTATTCCCCTAATTACAAGCCTAATATAAGTATGTTACCCTGTTTGTTACTAACACGCGTGTAAAATTATCTGCCAGGCTTATCTTCATATGCTCAGAATATAGTAAGTCTGGTAGGAAGGGTAGTAGCTATAATACTACTTCCTATGACCAAAATACCGTGTATTCATTTCTAACAATGTCGTTCATTCACCTTCTTAAAAAGGTAATCCGCTACAGAATTGATCCTAATGGTCGTAATTATTACCCATTATCCGTATTCTTCTTTAGAAGAGATACGGAGGCAGAAAGGAAAGGAAGTAGTACATCTAGCCTCTAAGAGAATATTACGAATTGTACGGACGACAATAGCATCATGCCTGTTGTTCTGTAGGCCTGCTCCTTCCGGATGAGAAGGCAGGGAAGTGCCTCGTACCGTCATGTATTCCCGAGCCATGTTGCAGTACGAAATTCAGCAAAAATCCACCCAGTAATGCTGTTTTCAAACATTTTGTCACATTCCTACCATACGGAATAGCACAAAAGTTAGGAAACACTTGAATGAATAAGTATTTCCCTGAAAATGTTCACGAAATTTATAATTACTTTCCAAGACTGTCCTTAGAAAAAATATCTTTACAGTACCTTCACGATTAATCGGTTAACACAGTATTATAAACTGTGGATGGAGGGGTCACGTCTGATTACAAATGTACAGACGTAGTGGACCAGTAGCCATCATTTTCGGGGTATATTTATTTGGTAATGGTGACTGTGAATTTTCTAAAGTATGGGACAAGAGGTGTACACGCGGTATTGGTTGGGAAGCCTGAGGGGAAGAGACCGCTGGGGAGACCTAGACGTAGATGGGAGGATAATCTCAGGCGGGATCTGTGGGAGATAGGAGTTGAAGGAGACTGGATTTTGTTGGCCCAGGACAGGGTCCGGTGGAGGGCTTTGGTTAATTCGGTGATGAACCTTCGGGTTCGGTAAGCCATCTAGTTAGTTAGTTAGATAGTTAGTTATTAAACGAAAACTGATTTATTATTTATTCGTAAATGTGGTTTGTTCTGTGTACACTCTGTAGATAACCAAGATACGAAGGTCGTCTTTGTGAACAAATTGACCGACGTCACTTGTAAAGGTATTGCCGTGTCCGAGATGCAGCTGAATCAGACCGTCTGCCGTTCTGTCTCTGTCTATGGGTGCTGAACTCTGTTGCCTGTTCCCGGTTACTCGCTAATCACATTTCGTTGTCTGTATCCAGGCTTGATGCCCCTCCCCTCTTTTAGCATCAGGGCATTAGGGCTTCTCGTAACCATCCCTTAACTATAACTTTGTTCGTTCTGCGATGACAAATTCTGACAGCTTCTCACGTCCAATTCTGCTGCAAACTCGGATGTGATAAATTAGATGAGCAAGGGCGGACACACGCCCATGTAGTCCCTAATGCAGTCAGAGGCGGACTGGTACGTATTGCCGCGAGAGATGAATGACTTGAGAAACCCTCGGATAAACTTAAGACCATTCATTGTTAACCTGGTTAGAACGCTGGCCTTGTAATCCTGGGGTCTCGGGTTCGATTCCCGGCGGTGCCCGAATTTATAACTTGTGTTGGACAAGGCCGTGGTCTAGGTAACACGGAGTTTTCCTCCGGGGGCTTCTCCGGTTTCTCCGTGGTATCCCAACAATTACTCCATTCACACACAGAAGAAGGCAATGGCAAACCACTTCTGGATCATCTGCCAAGAACGTATATGAACAGGTCCCAGTCCGAGAAAAAG